GGTATTACACACTCTTTAAGCAGAATAAAGAACCTCTTTAATTCATTAACTTTTTCTCTACTTAACTTTATTTTTAATGATTAGTACTAAAAATATAATTAATAAATGAATTGTTAAGTGGATTTCAGTACTTTGGCTCTATTTTCAGGAATATATTCAGGAATATATTCGACAAGCATGAAGCAAAAAGAACAAAAGCAAAGTACCAAGAACAGAGAACTGAAGATCTCGTCTGATAGCAAACTAGCCTGGAACAAATCTCACCACAAAAGCTCAAGCAAGGCATTTTAATGAAGAGTACCCAAGAGTACTTGTTCTATTGGATCTATGAAATGTTATCCAAAAATATTTATAATAATAAGAAAAACATTTTAGCTAGAACATATTGAATCTGGGTACAAATATTGCATTGCAAGAGTAGCTTGAAAAATTGTTTATCTTAATCAATCAAATTATATTAATATATATTATACAATATATTCATTAATTCCCTCAATATATTATACATTCATAAATATAATCAATTGTTTTGCATGTTGTGTAGATTGATAAATTCCTTTACAATTCGGAAATTTTGTACCGCCACTAATGAAAAAAAAAATATATATATATATATATATATATATTTTGTTTATTCAAATCGAATCGAGATTAATTTAATATCGGACAATTTCAAAATTACTCTAATCGATGTATGTTTTGTAATTTAAAAGAAGGAAAATCAAATTTTTGTTGCTTATATGAAAATGAAATGTGGTTATTTCCCCAGAAGTTTCTACTTGTTGTAGCAGGCTAACCCCTTTATTTGTAAATATCTTGAAAATGCGCCCATTATCGTGCTAAACAAATGAGAAAAATGTTTTTTTTTTTTTTTTTTTTTCATTGTGACAAATAGGGAATCTTACATTGTAGCTCTAAATTATCACTATAAATGGTGCTTTTTGAAGATAATTCAAAATTAGGGGTTCGCCCACTACATAACGTAGAATTTTCTGGGGAAATGCTCATATATGTCTTTAAAGAAATAATCATTAAGATATGTAATAAGACTAAATAGAGAATATAATTAGTTTATCCAAATTTCTCTTTCTTCTAACTTTGTCCCCCCATATTTCTCAAGCCGCCCTCGTATGTATAAAGCTCCTCTATTGTCTCAGTTCTACTAAAATGCGAAATAAATAAATTTGCATAATTTCTAAACACAATTCTCATTTATTTTAGATTCACGTTGAGCTAGGAAACTTTTCAAACTGCCCTCGCCTGTTATCTACAGGCTGTCAATCAGTGTAAAGTCTCATACTTTTGCTACTCACTGTCATAGTCCGACTCCTCGCTAGAGGATTCCGTTGTGGCCTTGCCGAAGCCGAACCACGACTCCAGCCAGCCGGGTGGCTCAGTGGTTGTGGCCGGCGCTGGCGTCGGCAGAGGCAGTGACGCCACTGGCATTGCCGTGGTGCTGCCAATCTTTTTGGTGCGTCGCCTCAGTCCGAACCAGGAGCCGAACCAGCTGCTTAGCGAGCCGCCATCATCGTCATCATCATCATCGTCCTCCTCCTCTGCACTACCAGCGTCGCCTTTGCTGCTGTGCGCGCTGTGGTAGAGCGTGTAGCTGGGGTATTTCGGCTTGGTGCTGACCTCCGTGTTGTCCTCCTCGGACTGGCCGCCAAAGCCATCAAAGATGCGCGCCATCGCCACTTGGACGGGATAGAAGATCATGCGAAAGAAGCTGCCAATGCCAGTGTCGCCCTCCTCCTCCTCCTCCTCATCTTCATCATCATCATCGTTATCATTATCGTCTTTCTCCTCGTCGTAGTATTCATCGGAATTGTGACTCTCGCCAGGCGGACGTCGTCTGATGCGCTTTTTGCTCAAACTGTTCTTGGTCGAGGATTGCGTCTCCTCGCTCTCGGTCGACTCCTGCTTCTCCTCCTCGGAGCTGGTCGCGGACTCGGCTATGGCTGGCTGAGCGGTGCTGCTGGTGGTTGAGCTGCTGCTGCTGCTGCTGCTGTTATTGTTGTTGTTGTTCACTATCACACTTGGCAGCTCCTCGACCATTGCACCGAAATCCGCGCCCTCCTCCGCCGAGCTGCTGTTCTCCTGTGACGGCCTCTGCTTGCTGCTGCTGCTGCCGCTGCTGCTGCTGTGGCGCTTCACATGCGTTGCCTGCTCCCCCTGCCCCTCCTCCTCCTGCTCGAAATAGTGCTCATCGTTGTCATCATCATAATCATCGCCAGCTATGAGCTCCAGCAAATCAAAGTCATCCTCGCCGCTGCCGCCTTTCCTGCCCTTGCCCTTGCCCTTGCCCTCGGCCTTGTCGCTGCCATTGTGCCTGGCGTGCAGCAGATGCACCGCATGGGGCACCCGATAGCCACTGTCGCCCGCTGGCGAGTTCTCCTGCCGCTTGGGCGTGGCACGTTGCGGCTTCTGGACGGGCCGCCTTCCGCTCTTGCTGGAGCTGCGCCGCCGGCCGCCCCCCCGACCGCTGCTGATGGGCCGAGCGCCCGCCGAGCTGCCGGGCAGCGCATCCAGCGAGCGACGCCTCACCCGATGCGGCACTTCGATAAACCCACTGGACACCACAAAGGGCTGATCACTGAAGACGGTGCCGCCGCCTCCGATCGCTGCACTCGTGGGCCTCGGCATATGCGGCTTCTCTAGCTGCGTGGCCGTATGCCCAGCTGTGGGCGGCCGGACGCTCGTCGTCGTCCGTTTGCCCAGCACAATTAGCGGCCCGGCTGTTGTCGCGACTGAGGGCCTTTGGCCCGGCCGTCGCTTCACTGTCTTCCGCTTCTTCTTCTTGCGCCTGTTGCGCTTCGGCTTCTGCGTGCGCGGAGGCGCCGCCGTCGTCGTCGTCGTCGTCGCCGTCGGCAGCTTCAGCAGCTGATCGCTCACGCTGCCCGCCGCACCGCTGGCCACCATAATGGGCGGCGGCTTGTGCAGCAGCTTGTTGTGGCCGGCCGCTGTGCTGGCGCTCGGCGCCGTCGTCTTCTTGGGCTTCTGCAGCCGTATGATCTGCGGCCGGGCGGTGCTCGTGCGCGCCGTCGGCCTCAGGCTGGGCGTCGACAGCACCGAGTGCGCTGCGGCTCCGCCGACGGTGGCGGCCTTCAGCGAGCATTGCTGCTCGTAGCGCTGGCGCAGCGCTTCCATGTCGGCGTCATACTGCGCCTTGGTTACATAGATGTCAATGCCGTCGCTGTCGCTGCCATTGCTGGGCCAGGGCTGCGACTTGGTGTTGCGGCCCACCTCGCTAATGGCATAGACAATGCCGGTGGCGGGATTGGTAAAGAATATTGGGAAATTGCTGTTGCTGCTGCTGCTGCTGTTGCTGTTGCTGTTGCTGGTGGTGTTTTTTGTTGCTGTTGCTGCTGCTAGATTATCCGTGATCTCAATGAGTCCGCTCTGCACATGCTGCGCTGGTCCATAGACCGAGTCGGGTAGTGGCAGCCGATGTTGCTGCTGTTGCAGATGTTGCTGCTGTTGCAGATGCTGCTGATGCTGCAGATGCTGCTGCTGTTGCAGATGTTGCTGTTGCAGATGTTGCTGCTGTTGCTGCTGCTCCAAACTTGCTATCGTTTCATAGACATACGGCTGCTGCAAGCTCTGATCATCGCTGAACAGCTGAAAATCCAGCTCCTGCTGCTCCTGCTGTTGCTGCTGCTGCTGCTGCTGCTGTTGCTGCTGCTGCTGTTGCTGCTGCTGCTGCTGCTGCTGCTGTTGCTGCTGCTGCTGCAGGTGTTGCTTGTGTGGCTGCTCTGGATAGTTGTAGCGCGGCACAAAGCTCTCGCGTCGTCGCTCGCTGGCCAGCAGATCGCGCGTCCAGCTGCGTGTCTCGCGCAAGAGGCTATCGAACTCCTCGGCGCTGGGATGATAGCCAAAGTCGTATGCGGCGCACGATAGGTCCGACAAACCCGACAGACCCGACAAACTGGCCAGCAATAGGCGCAGCATTAGCAGCTTTACGACTATATGAAAGGCAGGCATTATATATGTATGTCTAGCTATTTATATAGCTTATATAAATATATATATATATATATATGCGAATATATATGTATATGTATTTATGTATAGAGGCAGCGAGGCTAACGAGGCAACTGGATTATGCTTGTCCAGAGATTCTTGGAATTAACGCGTGCGCGACCGTTTGGCTGCGAGTCTCGTTTACAAATGAACAAAACGACCCAGCCAAAGACCCAAAACCAAAACCAACAACATCCACCGACCCGCCGCCAAAAGGAGAAACTCAAATGCCCCCACATACTATGCGAGTTTCGGCTGCTTGAACGTTTGCCCGTAACGTCTGAGTGAAGATGTCGCTTACCGGAGTGCGGCGTGCGTTGTCGCCAGCGCTGCTGCTGCCGCTGCCGCTGCTGCTGCCGCTGCCGCAGCCGCTGCCTCCTCTGTCATCTCCTTCACCTTCACCTTCACCTTCTCTTTTCTCCTAGCCAATGTTCTGGCTACCTTGCCGTAGCTGTCGTCAGTTGCCCTGCGTCGAATCATCGAAGCATTGCAAATTGTCGATCTAATCATAGATGAGAATCAACAATTGCACTGCACAGTGGTGCAAAAGTGATGGCAAAAACGATACTATAAATATAAGTATATGTAAGTGTAAGTATAAGTATAAGTATTCATGTCATTATCCAAACAAAATTTGACAAATCATATTAAGCCATTACTAAAGTTGTCAAACTACTTATTAATTCTATATTATATACAGATACTTGACATGTCATAGAATATACATATATAATTAGACTAGCACTTGAGGCATTAGGGCCATCAAATCTAATATCTAATATATTGTCAGTTTATTGCCTATTCATCTAATCGGAGTGTTTTCAAGCAAGCTATTCATGCATAAATAGGGGCGTTGGCCCATTTGACGACAAAATTTGGGAGGCATCTTAAGTAATTCCTGTTATCAAATTGTTTTTGGTTTCTCTCAGCTCTAAATACAGCTCAGTAAAATGTCGGAGATTGTTTGTAAATCTATATGTATAATCAATCAGGATGTTATAACATGAAGCGAATGCAAATGCATTCAGTCAAAAGTGAATGAGTCGAGCGCAGCCAACTTAATGTTGTTACAGGTACAGCGAACTTCACTTGTCTCCATCAAGGAAAATTAGTATATAATATAATATATATATGATATTGAAACTGAACAATGTGATAAAGCAAAAATATTTAATATGTGAATAAACTCAAGTACCTCAGACTTCAGGCACTTGGATTTTTCAGTTGAAATGGAAATTGACATATGTGAACACGTAACACTGTGAGTCAAGAAACTAACCACTTAGCCTGGCCCCGCTGTTTGAGCACTTCTTTTATTAGCTGCACCAGTGGCATGGCTTGCACTTTCCGCACGGTGCTTGACGCGAACTCTACTTCATTTTATTTATTTTTCTCTCTCTCTCTCTCTCTCTCCCTCATCAGATTTTATTCGCATCCCAGAAACTTGAGTCGCGCAATAAACACCAGGCATACAGAATGACAGTTTGGGGCTTCGACTTGGGCCTCACTTGTAGGATGCCTGACCTCCAATGACCAGAGACAGGTTGGACTTGTCCGTGTCCAGCGTCGGTCGTTGCGTCGGCCCAGTTACAGCGAGCAAGCCTCAATCTCTAGCATCTGGAGTTGTCTAACTGTTATTGTTATACCCTGGACCCATTGAAAATGGGAAATCAGGGTATAATGGTTTTGTTAAAAGTATGTAACAGGCAGAAGGAGGCGTGGCAGACCCCACAAACTATATATATTCTTGATCAGGGCGACGAGCTGAGTCGATTTGGCCCTGTCCGTCTGTCTGTTTGTCCGTCCGTCCGTCCGTATGTTTGAACGCGTCGATCTCAGAAGATATAAGAGCTAGAGACTTTAAATTTTTTTTCCTAGGTCCGTGTACATCACGCGCATATCAAGTTTTTCTCCAAATATCTATAACTACTCTCGATATTTTGTTAAAAACCTTATCGAAAGCTAGTTATTTAATTATATCTCCTACAACTTTAGAGCTAGAGCTTCCAAATTTTAAATGTAGACTTATATATATTTTGTACAATTTCGATTTTTGTTAAAATTTACCCCCCCACTCCTATTTCTACCCCCTCACCCTCACCTTTTTTGTATTTCAAATACTAGAGACTTGTGCTTTGGAATACACATACATTTGAGCATTATGATTTTGTTGCACAGTTAGCAGAGCGCGTTCTAATACGTGCGTGTGTATGTATGTGTGCCGAAAAGAAGTGCACAGTGATTAGAATATCAGATTGGAGGGTTCAGGGTATCTCCTAGTCGAGCAGTCTCGACTAGAGTCTTCTTACTTGTTTTTATTTGTTGTTGCTGGTTTTTTGATTTTGTTTTTATTTTTGTTTTCTTCCAGAAGCTCTTTCACTTTCTACACAGTCATTCTGCTGTTGAAATTGCCGCCCTCGGTGTTGGCCTTTGACTTTCGCTCACAGACCCGGGGCAGAAGGTATGGCACAGGCGTGTCTCAATTTAGAAAATGCCGTTCAAGAAGTTGCTGTCGCCACACTACAACAGCAACAGCAACAACAGCAACAACAACAACAACAATAATAATAATAACTAAAAACAACAGTAAATAATAAATAGTACAACAACTATAGCCGTAAGCAACAACAAGTTTTACGCACAGCAGCAACTCGAGCGTCACTAAAAAAGCGTTTAAGACAACGGCAATATATCGCTCAAACTGTTAGAGATGGGCGCGTGCGCACTCCACAAGGCTGGCAACGACTTCACAATATCACTACTTCAGATTAGTTACAATACGCATGTATTAAAGTTTGTTGATCCTAGCTTGACAGCCCTTCAGCATACCTTCACATACCTATTAGTATATAGATTGTTATGTATAGGTCAATATGTATAGATCGATATGTATAGATCAGTATGTATGGGTAGATATGTATAGATCAATTTGTATATGTATGTATATATATGTGTAGATCGATATGTATAGATCGTTATGGTTGGATCGATATGTATGGATCAATATGTAGTATAGATCGGTATGTATAGGTAGATATGTATAGATCGATTTGTAGAGAACGTTATGGATCGATCTTTATACATCAATATGTGTAGATCGATATGTATAGATCGTAATGTTTGGATCGATATGTATAGATCAGAATGTATACTTCGGTATGTATAGATCGGGATGTTTGCGCAGATATGTATATATCGTTATGTATGGATCGATCTATGTAGATGTATGTATAGTATGTATAGATCGATATGTATGGATCGATAAGTATAGATCACTATGTAGATTGAATTGATCAATTTTCAATAGATCATCATAGATCGATCTGTATAGATCAGTATGTATAGATCGATATGTATAGATCAATATGTATAGACCAGTATATATATGTATAAGGATATAATCAGATCGATAGATCGGAGTGCATAGATCTGCATAGGTCTCCAATGCTCTACAACTAATCTAGAATGAAACAGTTTTCTTTGGCTTTATACATCGAACTATACGTATTAATTAATATTTTACTACTAGGTATAGTTTTCTTTGATAATTTGTCATACTCACATTGACTGTTTACACATCATATCCTGTCTAGTTTTCTGCTACTCTTGCTCGACTGAACCATTTGGGCTCAAGCTGAAATAGGTTTTATTCAAAAATATTCATAAATATTTATAATTAATTACTTAAAATAAGTAAACATTTACTTAAATAAAAAAAAACTAATACTTGAAAATAGAAAAAAAATAGATATCAAAATTAAGCTCGACATCGTGAGTCACGCTCCCATCATCTGCAGAGAACGAAAGCCGCAGCAGTGTGAAATGGATAGTAAGTAAGATATATAGTAAGTATATAGTTAGCATAGCGCACATATATGTATTTACGGCTGAGCAACAGTTAATAATAATATTATACATAGCAAACCATATACGATATAACAATGGCAAAAAGCAAAACATTTTAATTGCATGTTTTCTTTTCTTTTCTTTTAGACCAGCATGCCGAAGGAGGCCAACTAAGCAAACTGTGTCTTACTATATATAAACACAAGTAAATTTACTAAATATATATTATAATGGGTAAGAGCCAACATGATCAAGATTATCAAACTCAGAACTATTGTGTTAGCTAAACTTTAGCAAACTCATAATTACATATACTTGTATATATGCATGTATATTTGTGTATATTTCTGTATATCAGAGACATATGTATGTGAATTGCAAGTGAAATTGGCATTAAACCAGTCTGTAAATTGGTAAACTCTTTACCCAAAATTGTTGTTCAAAAGGCCCTCTTCAGTTGTCAAAAAGTTTGTCACACTTCCAACACAATTTTTGATCCGACTTCATTATGCTCGTTCCTGTCTAAACTTACTAAAATATTCCATAATTTTAGACGTATTATCTTATATAATTGCTGACTTCAAGATCTCAGCTTAAAGACTGCGGAAGATTCACCAGATGATAAATGTTTGATCTATCATTGCAAGATCCTCTGGTCACTCACTCATCATAGATTTGTATTCTAGTTCTGCTACTCAGCTGCATGACTGGCCACGCCCATCCTTTATACACGTGTATAGCATGGGCATGTAAGTTATATATTAATTACCTCTTTAGCGTTTCTTTATTATATTTCCATTTGTTTATTACAGAGTTGTTTTTCAAAGAGTTGCACTTAATGTCAATTTCACTTTTCACACTCAACAATAAACACGGTGTCACATGAGCTTATCGTACCACTTAATACCCTACACTTGCTTGGAGCCCAACTCAACGATTATTTATATAAGATGAATGAATTGAGTATTAGCGCTAAACAAATTGTTTAATTAGGTGTAATAGGTGTAATTAAAGACAGAACAGTGCAGTATTCATTTCGTACTTTTCCTACTCTGTAAATAGAGCTGAAAGCCAATCATGTTGATGCAAGTATCCAAAATCGTAAATAGAAATCGTAATGGAAACAAATGTTCTTTATTTGTTGTACATTAATAAGTAGCTTATATTTCTTTCAATCTCGCTCTCCCTCTTTCTCTCTCCCTTGCCCTCTATTTCTTCATTTTCTTTCTCTCTCCCTTTCTCTCTCTCTAGCTCCCATAATGTATATTCGCTTCCTCTACGACCTCCCACGAAGCCAGTCTACATCTCCTTGACTAATTATGTCGCTTTTCTTATTGTCTCACCCTTCCCCCTTCTTTCTTTTTCCTATCTGTTTCTATCACTGTCGTTTCACTGTGTCTCTCTTTTATTATCTCGTTATAATTGTCTCTCTGTTTAACTTATTTTTCTATATTTTATTCTGCAGCCGGTTGCACCTCATTTGTTTTTCAATCAGAGACTGTCTCTGTCTCTCTCAGGCTTCTCTCAGTCTCTCACTCTCACTTTCACTCTCTCTGTCTCTCTCTCTCTCTCTAGTCTCTAGTCTCTCTAGTATGTATCTCTCTCTCTTTCTCCCTCTCTGTTTGTCTGTCTCTCTTTCTGTCTGTCTCCTTTTCTCCCTACTTCTCTCTCTACTGCACTCTCTCTATCTCCCTATCTCTCTCTCCCTCACTCTCTATCTCACTCTTTCTCTCTCTCTCTCTCTCTCTCACTCTATTAAGTCACTCACTAATGTCACTTCTTGCCCCTCCCTCTCTCTTGCACACCTATAATTCTCTCAGTCTCTCTCGCTCACATTCTCTCATCTACCTCTTTTTTGTTGTCTCACAATCCTAGTCTTCATCTCTTTCCCATGGCCTCTCACTGTGGCCCTTCCTCTCCCACTTCCCCTTTCTCCTCCTCTCTCCTTTCCCTGCCTTCGTCATATTAATGACGTAAGTCTATTGCTAAGACAATCCAGAAATAGATCTTTCCTAGTTCTCCATGTTAGCCTTAGCCTCTTCTGTGGACAGCTCAAGGTCACGTACAGTGTTACCTCCGGCAACACGGACGGCGCTCAAAGAGATGCGCCAATTTGTCTCTCTCTTCACTCTCAATTAAAATATGAACTATGCTCATGAACGTCGACAGTCTTAAATGCCATTGTCACAAACAACAACAACAATACACGTACATATATAGTAATATTTATATACATATTTGTATGTGTGTGTGTGTGCATGTGTATGTTTGTGCATCGCCAAATAGCCGGGATCTTAATTCTTCAAAAGACAGGCGGCCTTTCCATTAAAAATAAAATAAAATAAATTATAAACGAATTGCTTCATTAAAGGGTCCACATTTCGCTTGCCGCAACGAATCACGAACACCCTACTTAGCCACCCAGTGAACAGTCGCCTGCCTATGCCTATGCCGCTCGCCCGTCAAGCACCCCACAACAACAGCAATCGACAAACTTTTCAGATCATTTGCCGATGGCGTGAATACTCGAGCATGTGTGCTTGAGCTGCTGCCAATTGCTGTTTGTTGAGCACTCTGCGCTGTCTGCCAGATACCCTGTAATTCGATTAAATTAATTAAAGCGTTTGCAAATTTAGGGCTAACAACAAGAGCCAGATCACTTGGGGATCTTAAGAGTATTCCACAGTTCCATATTCCATATGCCATATTCCATATTCCACATTCAACAACAACAAAAGTCTTTCTTTACATTTAGAGATCAGAGAGATGTGTGTGCATGCATGTGTGTGTGTGTGTGTGTGTGTACCTTGCATGCTTTTGTAGGGCAATTGCGACAACATCAGCGATCCACCCGCCCCCGTCCCCCCTGTCTCGGCAGATGCCCTGGCCATGTCGGCTGGCTGAGTGACAACCTGTTGGACAGGCGCTCAATTGGTCGCCCGACTGCGCAGCTGCCTAAGGCGGGGGTGCACGATAAAATGAAGAACGAGAAGAAGAAGAATAATAAAAATATATATATATACATATATATGAATATAAATAAACCGGTTGGACATTAGAACCGATTCCAATTCCGATTCCGATTCCATTGACGACGTCACAAAATACTTTCGTAATGAGCCACGGAAGCGCCAGATGCTGGCCAAGAATGGAAGAGAGAAAGAGAGCAAGAGAGGAAGAGAGAAAGAGAGAGTGTGAAACATGACGGTTGGGCAAACAGAGGGGAACTTGGAACTTGGAAAGCGAGCGGAACGAAAGGGAGTGAAACAATTGAGGGGGGAGCAGAACGACAGAGGTGGCAGAGGCGGCAGTCGCTCAGCGCAAAGTGTCCGAATGCCGAAAGGCAGCGACGGCGACGCTGATGCCGATGCCGACGCCGACGAAGGCAGCAGCAACAGCGCGCCTATGTGAGGCGGGCCGGGCCGGGCCGTCAGTCTTGATGATTTCGTGAAGCGATTAACACACGCCACGTTCTGAGCCATTAGTCAGGATCGCAAAAGTGCGAAGGAGCAGCAGCAGCAGCAGCAACAACAACAACGACAGCACATGACACACATAAGGAAGCAGCAGCAGCTAATAGCAACAAGTGCAACTGCAGCAGCCAACGCCAACGCCAACGCCGCCGCCGCAGCAGCACAATAAGTGGAAAGAAGAAGCAGCAGCAGCAGCAGCAAACGGCAATAAAAATAAATCATTTAAAAAACGCCGCGCCAAAAGAATTTGCCAAATTACGCGTTCATTTATTTGCCAGCGCTGCTCGTGCATTGACCGAATTTTAACAGCAGCAGCAGCAGCAACAACAAACAGCAACAGCCACAAACAACAACAAACAACAAACAGCAAACAGCAACAGCAGCAGCTGCCAAAATGGATGCAGAGGTGTGTAAAGTGTGTGTGCGTGTGCCTGTGCGTGTGCGTGTGTGTTAAAACATTTTCAAAATGAGTGTCAAATATATTTATACATAAATACACACGCACACATATACATACATACGATATAGAATCAGTAAAAATCTGTGTGGGACCATTCATTATGATTATTTTATTTGTTTTTTTTTTTTATATATTTTTGTTTGTTTTTTTGCTTTTGTGCTTTGAGCAGCAGAAAAAAAAAACCAGTTCCATTTACTTCTCACGCCTAACAAATGCATATTCAAGTGCAAAGTCAGCTAAAGCAGCAGCAACAACAACAACAACAACCACATCAGCAACAGCTGTAAAAACAACAGCAGCAACAACAACAACAGCAACAGTTAGCATTGCTCTCTAGGACAGCTGTTGCATAGTAGCAGCAGAGGCGTCCTTTTAGAGGGGGCTCTCAAATAACTCAAATAACTCCAAATGACAAATTTCCTATTGGGCTATAAATAGCTAAAAATACTACACTGAAAGAAAAAGTATATACAATATGTATACTGTGTACAAACAGCATATATTATATAATGTATGTCATATACATACATACATACATACTATATATAGAAATTTACTTCGTGATTATAAACTTACGAGAGTTATATAGAGTAAAATTAAAAATATAATAACAACAATATCTTTACACTCCGATTTACTAATTGCAATGTCTTCAGGATATAAAACTGAATATCCCATATATAAGATAAAAATACTTGAAGCACTCAAAATGATGTGCGTAATCAACAAATTACTCAACAGCATATCTATTTTATATATAAAAAATATTTATATATTTAGTCAAATTACTTCAACTTAGCATTAGCCAACACATTACTGCAAGCTCTTGAGCTGTACAGATAAATAGAGATAGAGAATCTAAAAATATAGTCGAAAATTCGAAAATCACAAAATATATGTTTATATATGCTCCAATACTTGAAATAGTGCCAAGAATTACTGACACTAATGAAGCGGATAAGAATTTGTACAAAATCAATTCAAATCACTTTATAGAGTCATTCCCTCTGATATGAGTATAGACAGTGATCTCTGCAAACTATGTTGAACGCAACTTGAATTTCAAGTTTTGGATGGATTCAAGATTATCGAATACAAAATATCGAATCGAATAAAATATATAAAAGAGTCTCTATTAGTCCCATGGGGCCACTCTAAGCCATCTGTATCGTGAGTCTGTGATTAATTCATGACAATAGACTATATAAGTCTCAATACCCCCAACAATTTCATACAGTCTCTCAAAGTAAGCTCTATATAAAGACTTCTTTTTCTATATTTACTATATTTGACTTATATTACTTCCTTATTAAAAGAAATGATCTATTATGATATATTAAACATTTTTAGGGGTGTTTTATATATTTAAAAATCCTACCCAAAGTGCTATTATTTCCATTTTGTTTTAGACTCAGGCATTAAACGTGCTGATTACACTGAAAATAATGAAAGTTAACTTCGTTTAACTATCTTATCAGTTGAAGAAAGCGTGTCAACTTATCAGTGAATGGCCACGAAATTGCAATGACTTCGTATAAATTTAACATGCAGCATTTCATATGGCCTTCAATTAGTGAGCATCGTTCTTTGCCTCACTTCCGTGTCTTTAACAGTTGATTTATCAAATATAAAGCATTATAGAGCTATAAGCAGTAAGGCTCGACTCCCCCAGCCCCTGCTTAACTCCATGTCCATGAGCATTGTAATTGCCATTGCAGAGGCAATCGCTGTGGAAAACTTGTCGTGCATGGAAAATTTCCACTGAAAGACCATTGAATTGACTTGAATCAGACTGCCATTGCCTCTCAAATGAATAGCAACCAGAATAAATGGCAATAGTGGGCTCCGATTACTCTTGAAAAAGTACGAAATATAAGTGTATATATAGTTCAGTATGCATAAAACATTTAGTTAAAATATTGAAAGAAAACGAAACCTAAGAACCTTTTGATCAAAACAGCTAGAGTATTTCAAAAACCTGTTATTCAAAATTATTATTATTTATAGAAGTGCAAAAATTCGTGAGAACTATTTAAAAAGTTCAAAAAATTAGGACAAAATATCGGAGTTATTAAGAAGGCTTCCAAAAATTGGAAAATTCTATAACAGATATAATTTGGAAAAAATCATACGAGATTTTCAAGGTATTAATAATATATAATAGTTAATAGCTCACATATAGACGGAATTGCAAGAAAAAAAAACACAAATTTTTCATTAACAACTCTTGAATATTTTCAAAAACTCTGTTTTAGAATATCTTAAAAATGTTGGATCTAATAGATACAAAAAATTCTAAAACTTTAAGCAAAATGTATATTGGAATTTTTGCCCATAAAAATATTTGCCAGTTATTATCGATGCTATGGGATATAAAGATAGTAATGCAATAGAGTTATACAAAATATAAATCTACGTGATAATATCTATAAAGATCTTGTAGAGAGTTACTACATAGTTTCAGTCGCTAAAGCTTATCATAGTGTCTGTATAACCATATACTCATATACACTATTAAATCAAAGGCAATCAATAGCTTTGCTTTCAACTTTTGGCTAATACAGAAATTCTGCCTGAACCACTCGATGTAGCTCAAGAAATTACAGGGTATATCGCATGCGTGGGTGAGCTGAACTCAAAGTGCAATATCTGGTTCCTTAACTTGATAAGTCTTGTTGTTCTTCCTGTTGGTGTGCTACGCAGCTCACGTTAACAAATGTGAAGTAACGGCAACAACAGCAACAACAATAACAAATAATACTAAAATTAACACTAATAAAATAATACAACAGCAATTTATGCCGTTTGTTTTGAAGTGTTTTGTTGCGTAGCTGCCGATAAGAGTCACGTAAAATTTGCCGTCTAGATTTCCATAGCAAGTTGTCCCCCGCACGGGCCAGAGACCCAATTTCAGACCTGTGTATGCGCCCGATTATCTGGCACCTGTATCTGTATCACCTGCATATTACACACACACACACATAATCAACTGAAGGCAATCGCTGAACCCACTTACGATTACGTATTATCACATATTATCGGCGCCCAGATTCAGTGCCTTCCACACGCTCAGTTTATCTCTCAGAGAGCGACACTAATTTATAATAATTCACTTATAATTTTTTGCACCAATTATCAATAAATAAAGTTCCCAGGCATAAGAAACAAAAAAAAAAAAAAAAAAAAAAAAAAAAAAAAAAAAAAAAAAGAAACCATTGAAAATTTCCGTTGATAACATTTGATAGCATTTCCTACTGGAAACCCACGAAGAATATTTGTTTAATCTGGAAAGTTGAAAGTTTCTTACTAGTATAATAAATATGCCACACAATCAGTTGCGCTTTGAGGTCCACTAAAATATATAAAGCCCATTATTCCATTTAGACAATATCAAAATACAAACTAACTGATTTATAGGTTTTCATGTGAGCCAATGAAGAGATCTCAAATTCTGTTGGCCATAATAAAGTGTGCTTAGATTTCATTATATTCCTTCAACTGAAATTGAATATACCCATTAGGCATTGGCCACTGCGGGTATATAGTTTCATTAGTGGATAGTCAATATATATAGCTAACATAAATATTTATTGTTGCTCAAGTTCAAGTTCAAGTTCAGTGGATTCATTTGTCCAACTGTTCACCTGACTCTCCCTCGTTCATATCTCGTAAACAAGTAAAGCTAAAGATATGATATTTGAATTATATATACATAAATGTCAGAAGCAGTGAAAATTGATCACATTTTCTCGATACCTCATCTTAATTCTTTTAGATCAATAAATATTCTTATTTTGCCTTGAATAAGTCTTGAGGTTGCTTCAAAGACTCTTAAGCATAGGGTTTTATTTATAGATTCTTATACTTCTCTATATCTTTATAATCTCCAGCAAACAAATTTAATTTGCATACATCTTTCACATATTTTACTAATTAAATAGTTGAGTTTGTCTATATATTAGTCTAAAATAAATTCCATTAAAATCTAGTAAACGTGAGTGACTACGAGATCCTTTGAGCCCTTTACAGAACTGATATTCTAAATCAATTTAAAGTCTCTAGTTTTTATAGATTCTAAGATCAACAGAGTCACATATACGAACATACGGACAGACGAAGAGGGCTAAATCGACTCAGCTCGTCGCCCTAAACAAGAATATATATACCTTATATATATAGTGTCTAGCACGTCCCCTTCAGCCTGTATATCATGAATGTATATCATTTTCAATGTATATTACTCATGAATTTGTACTTTTCCCCTTCAAAGTAATACCCATCATCTCTTTGATCCTATTCAACTGTTTCTCTAGATAGTCAATATCTGAGATTCTTTTTGATCAGCTCTCCCACAGCTATTTAGATATCCTCTTTTTCCAGTTTCATCGCGATTATCTAGAACATCAGCGCTGGTCTGGGTATATTCTAGTCGAGCCCATCCACCTGCATTATTAATTAATCAATTTTAAAATATTCCCTCAATAATCATGTCCCTCATTTGAATATATGAAAAGTGGGTTTTCAAACCGGTTGAGTTTGTACTGAAAACTATTTTCAAGACTGTTTCTTGATAGCTAGCATACATTGGTACTACACGTGATGTGGTTGTTGTTGCAGTAGTAGTTGTTGTTGTAGCTCATGTATTATATTATGTTATACGACTCCAATAATTTGCTTTGGTTTTTTTCCGAATCTCTGCTCTCGCAGAGTGTTAATGGAAACTTTATGAGCCAATGCAAAAACCTCAATGAAATCGAACAAATTAATTTACGACTCATCGAGCCATAAATTATAGCCAATTCCAATTGCGCGGAGCACATACATATCTCTTATCATTTACGATCCCATTCATGGGAGTATAAATACAAGTCTGCATTGTTTGCATGACAAGGGAAAACGTTCGCCACTGGCATGCTTCACTGTAACATTTATTGCATTGATATCGCTGCATCAGACAATCAGGTAATTCCCCCCCCAGGCTGTACAGTGATTTACAATTCTTTTAATGAGCCACGTTCGCACGTACTCTAAGCCAAAACAAACTGGAATTAATAATGATTCACGATCGTTATCCAAATTACAAGCTTTTTGTTGTTGTTGCTCGACTAGGCCTAGTATAGGCAGGTATGACCTAGACTTAACAAATGCTTTCATTATTTTTAGTCAATTTCTGAATATTTTCCCCAAATCGAGAATTTTGTAGGTTGTAGCTCAGCATTTATAATGATTTGTAAGCCACAATCATGTAATAATTCTATATAGGAAGAGGAAGCATAGTAATATTCTGTGTATACGTATGTATATGTTTGTATGTGTATGTGTGTACATGAATAGATTTACGCTAGAATATTTGCATAAATGCGGGAATTACATTGCATTCCCCAGATGCATCAAGTGTCTATATTAACTTTAAGCTGAAAATATTTCATTATAATATTGTTTCATTATAATAATTGTTTAACTAACTCCTATATGAATTCGAACATATAAACAATAATTTAAGAAATATTCATAGATTAATTGATTTTCAACTCAACTTAGTCTAAGCTCTTTATATTTCTATACCAAAACATTCCTTACCTATTGAACTAAAAAACTCTACCCAATATCTTAACAAAAAATCCTCAAATTTGGTTGCTTTCAAAAATAAATCCCAAAAATTGTTCCTGCTCCTACTTCACCAATTGAAGACTGCATTTTAAAGCACAGATTTTATCTTTTCAAACTTTGTGCCGTAATCAAACATAAAACAAAGGAACCAAGCATTCCACAGAATACAGCAACAACAACAACAACAACAACAACAACAACAACAATAACCTCCAACAATGGCAACCAAAGTACTATGAGCTCCAATACTTCAAAGCTGACGGCGCCAGAGAGCGAAGGCCAACCAGTTCAGGCAGAAACCGATGCAAAGCCAGCGGCTGGCAGCCATGAGGATTACCATCCGCCCACAAGGTATGGACAAGGAAGAAGAAGAAGAAGCGTACTAACGAATTCCCAAAGAAAATCCAAACTAACGAGAGGCTTATATTACCCTATCCTAACCTAAATAAGCTCAACAAATTGGATGCATGTGAACTAACCCAGAAAACCAAAACCAATGCCAAAAAAAAAAAAAAAAAAAAACCTTCTTCATCAACCCAGATCACTATAATACTAATCACAACCCCAAACTTACCAAAACTAAAAATAATTTTGAGGGTTTGCTTATTTTATCTAAAGCCAAAAATTATTTGCGCTATCTTTTATCGACTTTGAATGCTCTGATAAATACTGACTGCATCGATAATCTCGCATGTTATCGTTTATCGCTTATGCATGCTGACTGTCTTTTATGTCTATACTTTCACCTTCTACAAACATTAGCTGAAGCGATAATTGTGCATGTGTTATCGCTTATCGATTTTCCATGTTAGAAACGTAGCTTTCACTTACCTTCAAGCTTTGACTAACCATAATTTTAAGTGTACATTTAGTGTTAATCCCAACTAATTCTATACCGATTTACTGTGCCGATAACAAATTGTGTATGTGATAACAAGAAGCGATAGCTTATCGATTTTGCGCTGATAACACCCCAGTTAACTTAAATTTTAAGTGTGAAGTTCAGTGACCACCTTAACCCAAGCCCGGCTAAACCTATTCCCAGTGACTAGACCAATAGTTATGTGTGTTATCGTTTATCGATATTGCATGCTAGCAGCCCACAAGCTTAAGTGTGCAGTGTGAATCTCGGATAAACCCAGTCCTGGCTAATCCCGTACTAAATCCTGATCACCGATAACCGATTACCGATACCCGATAATCATCTGTGGTGGTATCGTTGATCGACTTTGCATAACTTCATTCAAATGCAGCTACCTGGAGACAATTGTGCACCTGTTCAAGGGCAACATCGGACCCGGACTCTTTGCCATGGGCGATGCCTTCAAGAACGGCGGCCTGATCGTCGGCCCCGTGCTCACCGTTGTGATTGCCGTGATCTGCATCCACTGCCAGCACGTGCTGATCGCCTGCTCGAAGAAGATGCGCGATCTGCGCGGCGACGCCGTCTGCGCCGACTATGCGGCGACTGTGGAGCAGTGCTTCGAGAATGGGCCGATCAAGCTGCGCGGCTGGTCGCGCACCATGGGCCACCTGGTCGATGTGTTCATCTGTGTGACCCAGCTGGGCTTCTGCTGCATCTACTTCGTGTTCATCAGCACCAACGTGAAGCAGGTGAGTGCCCCGGAGTGCCGGAGTTGGTGCTCAGTCGGCGACAGCTGCTGATGGTTTCCTGCCTTCCCGCCACACAAGATCCTGCAAGCGTACGGCATTGACATGGACGTGCATCTGGTGATGCTGCTGGCCCTCGCACCCGTGCTGCTCAGCTCCCTGATAACGAACCTGAAGTGGCTGACACCGGTCTCACTGTTCGCCAACGTGTGCATGATCCTGGGCCTGGCCATCACCCTCTACTACGCCCTCAAGGACGGCCTGCCGGAGGTGACGGAACGCGCCTACTGGACGAACGGCTCCCAGCTGGCGCTCTTCTTCGGCACCGCCATCTTTGCCTTCGAGGGCATTGCCCTGGTGATGCCCCTGAAGAATGCCATGCGCAAGCCGCGCCAGTTTGAGAGCACGCTGGGCGTCCTCAATGTGGGCATGTTTCTCGTCTCCGTCATGTTCATGTTCGCCGGATCTGTGGGCTACATGAAGTGGGGCGAGCAGGTCGGCGGCAGTCTGACCCTCAATCTCGGCGATACCATGTGAGCAAGCCCCGCCCAAACAGATAGCAGATGGGCGCGTGACTCACGAGTGCTGCGGACACTATCGGCAACACAATTGAAACTAAAGTGAAGATTGAGCAGGAGTAAAAAAGAATATACTATACTCGATATATGCTTGATCTATTCGATCTGTAATCCCTTACAGAATCCCAATAGCATTCACATCCACTTGAATAGATGATTTATTATTAATATATTATCACGTTATCCATTCGATACTCCAAATGTCAACACAATGCAGAAAATCTGTGCATCTATTCGATATCTATTTACGATGATAATAGGCTCTATTCATAATTTCTATTCGATATCTTCCAATGTATCTACTCGATTTTCATTTATTTCAAAAACTCAAATTCAGAAAATATTACTCAATGCAATCTATTCGATATATATGTACGATATGATATCTAGTCAATATATATTGAATATACAGACGAGTCTCGATAGTTAGTACCCTGCTTAATCGAAAATCGCGACAAATCGAAAAATTCTATCCCTTTGAATGAAATTCGTTCTCAATAATTCTCGATAATTTGAATTTCTGTGTAAATCCAAAAAAAAAAAAAAAAAAAAACTGATCCCTTTGCCATTTCGAATTATCGGCATTTTACTGTAAATGGAAAATCGTATTTCAGTTCATTCTGGTCGACTCCGTCATATCTATTCAATATATCTATTATATTTTCAATATCTATTAGATATCAAACTCGACTTATATGACAAAACTAGTTAGAATCCAAAATATGATTCGAATTTCATATGATTTCTATATTTAGGATGCATCGTGTCCGTTCGATATATACAATGTCCGATATTTATATCCAGAATATGATTCAAGTATATGTATATTCCACGTACGATATCAGAGTCATCATATCGTCGTATTCCTGCGAAATGATCGTATGTTCATTTTTTGCGAAATTGAGATTTTAATTTATAATATGATTCGGATTTCATATGGTTTCTATATCTATGATGCATACCCGTACGATTTATACAAGCTACGACATTTATATTCAGAATATGATTCTAGTATATTCGATATATATTATATATATTAGATATATTGTATACTATATATATTTTGCATATACGATGTTTAATATCTAAAACAACTAGCAATCTATCTATTCGAACCTGCTCAAGCTTTTCACTTTTACCTCTTTACGTGCTTATCTAAAAATTCCACAAAATTCCCTTCGTGTCACGCGCCCATCTTCAGCTTGGATTCCCTAGGCAACTCGCTTAAACATCGCATACAATATTCTGTTCTTTCGCACGCCGATAGCCTGGCCCAGTCGGTCAAATTGATGGTGTCCACGGGCGTACTCCTCGGCTATCCGCTGCAGTTCTTTGTCGCCGTGCAGATCATGTGGCCGAGCGCCAAGCAGGTGTGCGGCATGGAGGGTCGTTCGCTGGCCGGGGAGCTAATCTTCCGGAGTCTGCTGGTGCTCGTGACGTGTAAGTAGAGGCATGGGATCAAAGAACGGAGAATGTGCTCATGCCAAGCTTCTCCCATCCATATATATGCAGTGGCCATAGCGGAGCTGGTGCCGGCCTTGGGGCTATTCATCTCCCTGATTGGCGCTCTGTGCTCCACGGCTCTGGCGCTGGTCTTTCCGCCGGTCATCGAGCTGATTGCGTGCAGTGAACCGAACAAGGGGCCCGGCATTTGGATTTGCCTCAAGAACCTAATCATCCTGGTGCTGGCCCTGTTGGGCTTCTTCACCGGCTCCTACGAGAGCCTCAAGCAGATTGTCAAACACTTTGGCGAGGAGGAGTTCCACTAGCGAGGCGACGCCCACTCAACCAGTGCCACAACAAATTGACAGGCTCGAATAGCCTTAACATAAATTATTATATAACTTATATACACACATACATATGCATCCTATATATGATAACCCTAAATACTATTGTAGGCAGAGTACTACAACTACTACTACTACTATTTACCATATTTCTTATATATGATATATGGTATATAATATATGGTATATGAGACCATGTTGATATATGACAATTACTTATGAATCATGTGCCGCGAAATAGTTTTTAATTTCTGTTTGTCTCTCGAGCAACAATTTCTTTTTTTTTTTTTTTTTTTTAATTTAGTTCTTTTTTTTCTATATATATAAACATATATGTTTGATATATAAATATAGAATTCATAAGTGTAAATAAATGATGGGTTCAGAGCCCATAAAAATCAGCATATATTTAATTATTTTATTTGGGTGAAAATCTTGGAAAATTTGAGCAAGTCAGAGATTGAGAGATATATAAATCGATCTATGGCATATACCTGTTCAGCTTTTTATTACTCCAGATCATCTGCTCTCTGAGATAGAGGGAGAGAGAGAGAGAGAGAGAGAGAGAGAGAGAGAACTATGAATTCTAATTTCAATTAGTCAATTGGAAGGTAAAAGAAAAATGTTGTTGACGACATTTGTGCACCAAATATATCCAGAACGGACGGGTATTATGCAGTCAGTAGTGCCCCATTGCAAGCTTTTTCTATTATATTCGACTATCTGAAAATACACCATAAAAGTGTTTATGGACAGGAATTGGCTAGACAGAGGCTCGACGGATTGTAATAGAGTTTTACGAGTAACTACGTTTTAAAGAAGGATACTATCGAGCCGCATCAAATTATATTTCAATATCTCATTCGAATTGCAAGCTTAGCATGTTCCAAGATATAGCTAGAGATATATGTAGATCTATAGTGATATATTTTACAAATATGTATGGTATTATATAGTTAGCCATCTAGGTAATCGTAAAAAGTTGAAATCATCTTTTATTGTCGTCGATTATCAAACGTGTGACGAATTCAAAGAATTTCTTATTAATCTAATCCGCACAAAACTAAATCAATCTAATCGAAACCGTTTCGACATTGCTCAGCGCGCGCCCAGCGGCCTTCGAATTGGCCCAAAGCCATGTGAAACCTGATGAATCGACAATAGACCTAAGCGAATATCGTGCTCATATTTATTGCCCGGAACATGTGCACGAGAGATATCGTAAATCTATTGTATGTATATGAATTGAAGAGTTTCATAGATTGGGCGATTGAATGATGTATGCATATGATTGACTACTTGATTGAATAATTGATGGATGGATTGAATGATGAAGTAATCAGATTGATGGACTACTCAAGTGATTGAATGATGTACTGCTACAATTGACTGACTGACACAATTGAGTATTTCGATTGATTAGCTAATTTTCTGATAAATTGAAGTTGATTGATTGATTGACTGTCGAACTGACTGATTGAATTATTGGTTAGCTAATAAAACGATTGGTGTATTAATTTATAAGAAGATTGATCGATTGATTGAATGGCTCACTGTTATGCTAATTGATTGATTGAATTATTCATGAATTAATTGATTGACCGATTGATGTTTGGACTGATCAGAAATCTATACAAATTGAAGAGTTTGTTGGATTGTTATATTGGCTGATATATTGTGAGACTGACTGTTTGACGAATTGATTGATTGTATGGTAATTGATTGAATATGTGACTGGTTGAAGGTTTGATTGACAGATCGGCCGATGGATGGCTTGATTGAAAACATTATTAAATGACTAATTGGTGGATCACTCCAGAAATATACTAATTAAATACTAAATACATGCTAAATATATCCCAAATATATACTAAATGCATTTCATCTTAGTTTGAGCTTTGATAAGTCGTGAAATTGTAGTCGTATCTTTTCGCTACCGATACTTTGTAAGATCTTTGCCCATCCCGAAATGGGTGACTGCAGTTGCTTCCGTTGAGCATTTGGGCTGGCGAGGTTCGCTGCCTGGCTTATATAATCCAATTGTGCAATTCCGCGAACATTGATAGATCGATCGTTCGATTGGCTCGTTTCCCATGTTGCATTGATTGTTCATATCAATATGCGCCATATACATATGTACATATATACGTATATCTGTGCATGGACGACGAAATTGTTGTCAGAAAAGCCAACTCATGAATTCCGTGCAATTCATTTAACTGGCGCTACACAAGAACAACAACAACAGCTAGAACAGCCACAACAACAACAAATCACAGCAAACAACAATAACAACAACAACAAGTCAATCAATCAATTATATGTTGTAAATTTCCATGCGTTGCAAGTGCGCGAGGCAGTTGGGCAGGTGTATCAATCGCCGATTGCTCAATCACCAGCTCGATGCGCCTTTCCAGCTGGCATGCAGTCGCCAAACGGCCAAGAATTCGATCTAATGTCATGCACATGCCATATCATATGAGCTTTTTAGCAGCAGCGGCATTGCCCGAACGGCACGTGCATAAATTGCGCATACGCCGCATTGTGCAGCACATCCTTGAACCAGAGACGTGTAATTGGCATCAGTTCCACTTTAATTGACATTTAACACAACCCTCTGCCAACTTGTATGGAATCACTTCCTTTCCGCTCAGACAACGGCTTGGGATGCCTGCTCGAAAACGGGTATATTAGTTACGTATGGTATAAATTGCTCATTAGAGCCCAACTCCAACTTACATATTGTATTTAGCTTACATATCTACATGCATACATACATACATACAACTTTAACTGATAGGAGACAACTTGCCACGCCCCTGCAGATGAATCGAGGGTAGTGTTGTAAATTTTCAAGTCTCTAGCTTCCATTACTTTTATTCTTACGGGCAGTCAAGCGGAAGCACGGGCAGATAGCAAGACGGACATGGCCAAAAACGAATAAACTCAGTTCAATTTCAAGAACGAGTAAAAAAAATACAAAATACGTGATTTGTATTAATATTTAAATTGAATTTATTTTGAATTTCACTAAGTAAATACAATAAATAAAAAAAAAAAAGGGTTACTGAAGTTCAATTTTAAAACACGTTCGCACAAAGCCTTGAAATTTTTGGTTTCTAAAAATTATTTGTTCATATAAATCAACCAAAAAAAATTTTAATAAAATAAATAACGTATAATATAACGTATTTTCCCACATTATTTTATGTTCATGTAAGTGCTAAAATTCCTGTAATATTTTTAGAAATCATTATGACTAGACTCGCGGTAGGAACACGTGAGGATTTAAAATGTGGCAAGCAAACTAGAAACCCTAATTAAAACTTCATTTCTGTTATTTTAGTTTATTTAAGTCCGCTCAATGCTGAAAGCAAAAAGTTAGCGATAAAGGTCTACAAATCTCTGGCTAAAACCGATTTTAACAGCTTTCCAAAGTTTTTATACAAATTAAATGAAAGAAAAGTCAAAAGAAAGAAAAAAGTTCTTAAAGCCCAAACCAGAACAATCAAAACAATTCAAAATTTCAATTTGCGAATTGCATTCCAATATCAAATAAAATAAGAAAACAAAAGCAAAAACAACAAAAATAAAGTTTGTAAAAAAAGTAAAAGAGTAAAAAGTACCGCACAGATGAGCAAGCAATAACAACAACAAAGATAACAGGGCTGCCGCTTGTGCTGAGAGAGCTTGCGCGCAGGAGAGAGCAAGAGAGCAAGGGAGGCGAAGTTGAAGAGGAAGGCGCAGCCAGAGGCCGAGACAGGCGCTTGCCCTTAAGTGCAAGGTATGAAAGCAAAAATGCCGTTAAACATTAGGAACACACACATGCGCGCGCACACACACACACATAGAAATACTGTTACATATGCAAGAGCAGCTGACGCAGTCGCAGTCGCAATCACCGTCGTCGCCGTCGCCGTCGCCGCCGTCGTCGTCGTCGTCGTCGTCGTCGCTTTGCCTGACTATTTCATACGCTGCTCTTAGCCAATTCGAATAATATTATGAATTGAGTCTGGTTTGAGTTCTTGGCGCGTCAACACGCTTCTAAAACAAAATACAAAAAAAAAAAAAAAAAAAACGAAAATTGGGAAAATCGCACAACGCGCGCGCACATATTAAAAGTAAAATATAAACATTATAACAATAATATTAATTATTATTATTAATTTTTTTTTCGTTTACTTGGCGCAATAATATGATTGGTGATTTATTATTATGATTTGCACTCGATTGGCTGGTAGCTTATCATTGCTTAATAGAATCCAGAGATATTACGTATCGAATGCCCATGGAGCACTCTCATTGAATTATAGTGTTTGCGTTGTTTGCACTAATTGCATAAATATGCAATTGTAATCAAAGTTATCAAAGTTTTTACTGAAGTTCAGCCATAATTAACACCTCGATTAGAAGTTCTACGAAACGTTTAGCACTTAAGCACAATAGGTCAATGTTTTGTTATATTTGTTTTTTTTTTTTTTTTTTTTTTTTTTTTAATACAGATTTTTATCTGCTGTAATTTGTAGTTCAAGTGTTTTTTCCACACAAACTATTATTAAATTATATATAAATTAGTACTTGTGTTCATATCGTGTTATGGAAAAAATGAAAAATAAATAACGTGAACTGAAGACACGTGCGAACCACTAATTAAAATATTTTTTCGCCCTTGAGTGCCCATTTAAAATTGAAAGCTGTATCAAAACGGCCGGCTTTCTAGGGTTAACAGCAGTCGGTGCATAGTTAGCATAGCGCCTGCCCCACTTACGCTCTCTAACTAACATGCTCTCACGCCCGCTCTCCTTCTCCCACTCCCGCTCCCAGTCTTACTCTCTCGCATGCACACTCGATCGCTTATCCTCCAATCCAAAGACACCGTTAACTTTGTTTTTGCTCTGTTTGAAACTTTCGCATTTTTTCGCCTTCCTTTTTTTTTTTTTGCATTTGCCTTTGACTTTTAAATTGCGCTGCTGGAGCCGAAGCGCAGCAACTGAAAATAATTGAATATTAATCGCAATTAATAATAAAAATAAATCTGTTAAATTAAATTAAATTTTGCAGAAGAAAGTGTATAACGAAAAGGTGATCGAAGCTGGCAATATGGGCAGAACATTGGAAATAACCAAGCCGGAGCAACAACAGCAGCAGCATCCAAATGCCACTAAGGGTGGAGAAAAGGATCTGGAGAGCACAATTGTTAAGCGTCGCCATGCCACAAGCAATCTGGAGGCGGCCACACATCTCTTCAAGGGCAGTGTCGGCGCCGGCCTCTTCGCCATGGGCGACTGCTTTAAAAATGGCGGTCTCATTGGCTCCACTTTGATGCTGCCCATAATTGCGATCATGTGCGTCCACTGCGAACGGTTGCTCATTCGTGGCTCCCTGCTGGCCGTCGCCCAAACGCCTGGCGCCACCTTCTACGATTATCCAGAGACCGTGGAGAAGTGCTTCGAGTACGGACCGCGGCCGTTGCGCCGCATGTCGCGCGCCATGAAGCTGATTGTCGAGATGTTTCTCTGTGTGACGCAATTTGGCTTCTGTGCCATCTACTTTGTCTTCATCACGGAGAATCTCTACCAGGTGAGGGCGAGCACTTCCACATATCACTTAGTTCATTAATTCATAATTTGTCAGTTTGATTTGTGCTCAAATCCAAATAGTTCATTATTTCGAGCAGTTTACCAACACTGCCACGCTAACAGAAGCACTTGATCACTTTTCAGCACTAATTGTGATTTTTAAATTAATCTGCAGGTGATGCAACAGAATGGCATAGACATCAGCATGAGTTTGGTCATGCTGATCACTCTGCTGCCCGCAATGATTCCATCCCTGATGACAAATCTGAAATATATCTCACCTGTGTCGCTGCTGGCCAATTGTGCGCTGCTCTTTGGCCTCATTGCCACGCTGTCGATCGCCTTCACCAGCGGCCCGATGCCCCCGGTAAGGGAGCGCAACTATTTCACGGGCGGCAGCCAGCTGGCGCTCTTTTTTGGTACCGCTCTCTTCTCGTACGAGGGCATCGCCCTGATCCTGCCGCTGCGCAATTCGATGCGCGAGCCGGAAAAGTTCAGCAGTCGCTTCGGTGTGCTCAATGTGACAATGGTGCTGATCACATCGCTCTTTATCTTCACGGGCTTCGTTAGCTATGTGCGCTGGGGCGAAGATGTTGCGGGCAGCATCACGCTCAATCTGGATGTGGAGGATGTGTATGTATATGGGGGGACAATCCAATCCCTAATAATCACTAGAATCTTCATATCTAACAATCATAATTGTATTATGTTTGACAGCATGTCACAGGTGGTCAAAATGGTGGCCGCTATGGGCGTCTTCTTCGGCTATCCCATACAATTCTTCGTCATGATGAAGATCCTGTGGCCCCCTGTCAAGCGCAACAATAGCTGCGCCCAAAAGTATCCAATCACCATGCAGGTGGCGCTACGTTTCATCATGATCATGATGACCTGTAAGTAAAATAGAGTTCATAATTTCTATATAATTTGTATCTCTCTTCTCATCTCTTCACTCCCCAGTTTGCGTCGCCCTGGTTGTACCCCAATTGAATCTATTTATCTCTCTAATCGGTGCATTATGCTCAACATCGCTGGCATTTGTCATACCCATCATCATTGACTTTGTCACCCGTGCCCAGGTGCCAAAGGGACTGGGCACCTGGATCTACTTCAAGAATATCGTCATCCTGACTATTGCCATATTGGGTATTGTCACTGGCACCTATCAGAGCGTCGTTGAGATTATTAGAGAGTTTCAATAGGTTAACTCGATGGTTGGCCAATTGCTTGCCAAGTATTTTGTAAATATGCTGTAATCGTGTGTTAATATCTTATAATGTTTAAATGTCCTCGTTATTTTTAAGTTCAATATCTGTAATATTTTTTTCACACTTCATGTTTTTTTTTTTTGTTTGTTATTATTTTTAAGTTATGCCCGCCGTGCTTATTACGTGTGTGCCAGTTTATTATTAATTGTCAACTGTTAATAAGCTTTCAGCGAAACGAAACAACTAGATAAAAAAAAAACCAAAACAAATTATATTTTAATAAATGATTATACATTGTCAGTTATAAGTTTGATTTCAAATTGCAAATTACAACTGTTAGAGGCTTAACAGCGCTGTTGTGGTATGCAACAGGGCTGCAAAATCTTAACAGCTTTCAAAATGATTTTGCTTAAATTCGCACAATCTGTAACACAACTATAAAATATTGCAAGTATGCTTAATTGTATACGGTGAAATAAAACAACTTGGAAATAAAGAAGAACAAATATATATATTTATATTTAAATAATTGATTATACTCTGTCTTTTAAGTATTTGTTTAAAATTGGCGCCCACTTACGCATACATTTATCAACACTGCCGCAGCATGCAGCCAGGCTGCAACAACATTCTAACAGTCTTCAAATTGATTTAACAGTCGATTTTTAAAATTATTCTATGCAGGACCGGAAAGGCTTTTTTCCATGAACTTTCTGCGCGCAAAGCATATCCACCATTTGTTTGGCTTATCATCTGATGTGTCGAAGACCTTCTCTAGCAAGCGATAGCCGGTCTCCTGACGCAACTGCAGCAAATATTCACGCATTAGGTCTGGATTATCTGGCTTGGTGTAGACTGAATTTAACGGAAAACCGGCATCGCCAGGCAAGGCAAAGCTCGAAATAGCCAAGGCATAAAGATCCTGTTGTCCCTGATCCTTGCTCGTGCAACGAGCCAGTTTTTTCAGGCATTCCGTTATGTAGAGCGTTATATAGATAAGTACGCGATCCACCTCCGACTGCAATTATGTATAAAATATATTTTATTCTTATTTATGGATTTATTTAGTTCTTATATCGTTTTTATTTTGTTGCAGCCCTACCTTGACCTCGTATGTGCGAAAGAAAACGTTTGCTTTGAAATAATAAAGTGACTCATCGATAATGTCGTTATCAGTATTCACACTGGGCGCTGGCCCCCTTACTTTGGTGCGTAGAGGCAAGATGGCCATGTTCCCCACCTTGCTGTGGAACTCCACGATCTCAGAATGGTAAGCCTATTGAATTTTTAATAATGTTTATTATTTAAATGAATGCAACATTAATGTAACAATGAAATAATAATCACTATTACTCATCGATTACCAACAGGAGTTGTGGTAGCTTAACTACTTACTGGCATTTTACAATGATTGCGATCAGCTGAATACGAACACTAAACAACAACTAAATTCAATTGTTTTCTGTTTACCAAAAGCACTTCTGTTAATGCGGGAATACTTGATCCCTAATTATATCGGAGTAGAGCTATCGAAGTTTTAAAGTTTCACGTAAGGCTGTTAACTTCGAATACGTCGTGGTATTATCATTCTGTTAAATGTTATTAGCAGTGGGTCTACATTACATATGTATGATTTTCACATAATGCGTACACGGTCACACAGTGCGCACGTTTTGTACTGAAAACAAATGAAGAAAAAATTAAAAACAATGTCCGAAGCGCAGCCCATTGAATTGGATAGCGATGAGGACATGGTAGTAGATACAGCCGAAGTGAACGGCACCAAAGCTAAAGATGTGGAGGAGCCAGTTTCCGTTGTACACAACACAGAAGACAATGAAGAGGAAGATAACGACGAAATGGATTTGGCCAATTTCAATGCTGGAGCTAAACAAACCGCCAAAACCAAGAAGCGTAAAAAGGGAATCATTTATATCTCGAATATACCAAAGCACATGAATGTGACACGTCTACGTGAGATACTCGGTGAATTCGGCAAGATCGGACGCGTCTATTTACAGCCGGAAAAGAAGCTAGGTGAGTGTCAATTCGCATGTCTTTCTGTTAGATTAGTTTATATTGATTCCCTTTTCAGGCGATAAGGCAAAAAAGAACAAGCGTAAGAAATACAATATTCACTTCACCGAAGGCTGGGTGGAGTTCGAGTCAAAACGTGTGGCCAAGCAGATTGTGCCGCTGCTGAACAACAAGCAAATCTCGACTCGAAAGAAGTCGCAGTTCTTCGACTCGCTGTGGAGCATGAAATATTTGCCTCGCTTCAAGTGGGTGCACCTGACCGAGCGGATGAACTATGAGCAGGCCGTCCATAAGCAGCGACTGCAGACGGAAGTGTCGCAGGCCCGCAAGGAGACCACCTTCTTCCAGAACAATCTGGACAAGAGCGAGCATATCAAAAAGTTGGCTAAAAAAGCTAAAAAGTCAGCCAACATTGCTAAGGCGAAAGCGTAGTAGCAGGATTTTTATGCTATATACAGATAATATATATATAGAAATGTATATATATATATTTTTTTTTTATTAGAAATAAGCGTATTTTGGCGCTAACTGCGCTGTTTATATGTAAAAGTGCTCTTATTGCGTTTGATAAGCTCAGTCTTGCGTCGGCCACTCATTTTGCGCATGCGTTCTGTTAATTTAACGTTAAATGCGCCTTGTTTTTAAAAAGCTTTCTATCTAAATTACTTTAAAAAGAAATAATATAAACAATTTTGTATATTAAAAGCTAATTTTTTTATTATACCACACTATTTACTTTAGCGATTTTTCTGTCCAAATGGAAATTAATGTTTTGGCGCTAATTGTGAAATGTAACATTTCTAATTGCTCTTTGTGCGCTTGAGCAACTGATTTATGCGTTCGAGCTACTCATTTTGCGCATACGTTCTGTTAGTTTTGCGTTAACGTTTTGTTTACAAAGCTCAGTGTCCTTTTTGATAAGTGTCACGTCAATGAACCGTCAAATTAAAATGAACCTATATATTTACAAAGACTTCCGAAATACACTGATTTAAGAGATCTACACTTCATTATTATCATTTAGCACTCTTTCACTTCTAAACTGTTAACCAACTGTTGCGTTCTCAGTTGTTATGTTAACATAACAGTCGTCTTTTTGGTTTCAGTCGTACAAAACTCATTGAGCGGACTGGCAACGGCGGCGTCTGTGTGCGTTAATAATAATTATTATTTTTTTTACAATTTGTTTTTGTTGTTGTGCATCGAAGCCTTGTTTAGATTTGAAACGAGACGAAAAAGTTCTGAATGAAGTGTAAAGTGTGCTTTACGTGCGATGCAATTGATCATTTCAATTCTGTATTATTGTTATTGCGGTTTTAGTACGCCAAAAGTAAAGTAAACTCGTTTACCAACACAGACGCTGTGTTTGTATTTGTTTGCATTTGCCTTGCTTTTGCTTTTGTTTGTTTGCTTGGCCGATGTTGCGCGCGGCATTCAGATGCAAATTTCATGCACCACATAGAGCAAACTTAATGGGGAAAATTGAATTAAAGAACTAAATGATATTCAATGCATTCCTTTTTGCCGCGCAACATAACAATAATAACAACCACAACAACGACTACTGCAACAACAGCAACCACCACAAGAGCCAAACGACGACGCCAACGCTGGCAAACACAACAACCACTACAGTTAATAAACTGTAGCAACAGTTGAGGCAGCAGAAGAAATATAAAATAACAACTTAAAAGGTAAGCGACATACACATGCAGATATGTATGTATTTACATACATACACGCATACAAATGCACTTCCAATGCGCTTACATACACAAATACATATTTACATGTGTCAGCTTCCAAGCTGCGCTTTTTATACCCGACCAATAAGATTTGCGCCCACTACAATAAGCATAACGGTATCGAAAGCTGCGTCGCTGCCTGTCTGCTCAACGCCCTTGACAGCTGTGTGCGACTGCGACGTCAGCAGCAACTCAATAGTGAAATGCAGCATGAAAAAAAAAAAAAAAAAAGGCAAAGGCATCCCAATCAAATGGAATTTAGCCGGTTTCCACAAAAGCAGACAAACTGCCAGACGACGACGGCGACGTCAGCGGCGGCAGCGACAGCAGCAGCGGCATACAATTCTCAAGTGAGAGCGTCTCGCTGCAGGAGTTATTGCAGACGCCGGCAGAGACGTCGCGTCGCAAGTTTTTTTTTTTTTTTTTCTTTTGTTATTATTTGGGTTGGGTTTCTACTGCGCTGGGACTTTCGCAGCTCAAGAAAGTTCCAGTTAGCGGTTGTCCTCTCTAACTGTTCAAATTAAATATGAACAGAATCCACATGCATTCCAGGGGCCATAAACAAACTCGAATGAGAGTATCTCCCATTAAATTATGTAAATTGAAACCAAACAAAAATTGGCGGGCTGTGCAAAAAAGAAAAAGAAGAGATTTCAAATTGAATAAAAAACAGTAGATAAAAAACAACAACAACAACAACAACGATAATGACACAAGATATACACACATACATATATATGTATGAGCATCTACAGAAAAGATACATATTTTATTATTTGCTTGAGAACTTGTTCTTTTGTTCGACATATTGTAGCTTTTTTCACCTTTTTTTTTAAATTTTTATTATTGTATGCTTTTTATTCTGCTTGGTATCTTTCGAAATTCCGAGCAGTGTAAAAAGTGTCTCAAACGTGCTTTTTTAAAGCTTTCAGATACCAAAAGGGCAATGTTTGTTGATATGACTCTGGCCCGGCTGCATATACCCTTTGTTACACAATTACAGTTATTTGGTTGCTTTCATAAGTACATATGTACATATGTATGAAGAGTATGTACAGGCACATACCCTATAATGTTGTAAGACATTTATGACGGCCACAACTTGATTTATTAATGAGTCTTGTTTTTTTTCCATCTCGTTTTCGTTGCTTTGCCCTCACTCTATGCCCGTAATCCGGACACGCCTTGTTTTAGCTGAGCTTGAATACGCTGCGCTGGGCAAGGGTATTGTGAGTGGCATATGGAATACGTAGCTCATATGCGTGAGGCAAAGATTAAATAACAGATATCAGATCAATATGGCTGATACAATACCAGGTCAATAGTTAAGTTTTTAAGGAGCTAGAGAAATCATCTATTGTGAGTTACAAATTGATACTAAATTATGGTATAGTATAATAGCAAATTACAAGATATTAATAATAATCATATCATCATTATCATATACAATATCTTACAACCAGAAGCGCATATTTATATAAATTTAGCTATATTTGAGCTACATTGCCATAGCTTATCTTAACCATCCCGAGTAGAGTATTTCTATACTGTATTTTCGAGGCGATCTCTTCGCTTCCTTTCGTACAGATGTGTGCTGTGAATCATAGCTAAATGTATTTAATTAGCATTTTCGAGTTGTTATTATGTACATATATGATTTCCGATTGCGTAAAGGTACGCAAAGGCCTGGCAGCATAGGCAGCATAGACACGCACAGTGGCTGTCGTAATTATGCAGACGGCGACACTTGCGAACCAAATATTTATGAGCGCAACAAAATTTAGTGTAGCGCCACAATTAAATTGTCAACAGCAAGAAGCACAGATACAGTTTACAAGTGCAACAACAACAACATTATATCATCATCTTCAGCATCTTCATCATGATCGTCAACAGCATCGTCATCATTGTCATTGTCATCCGTTTGCCATTAGCCAGCTCGTATAAACATCAACGATGCAAGTCATAGACCACAAAATATTGGCAAAAACAACAAGAAGCACATGTGTTTGACAGCCAGCCAAATGCAGTGGGCCAAAATGGGAACCCAGCACAAGCACGAGCACACATACATACATGCATAGACCTGTATATATATATAATGACAACAATTGTGCCGCCCTTGCCAATTATTTATGTTTGTGGACATAAAAAAGCACACACACACAGACACATAAATGCCTGTCTCCTTTAAAGCGTCAAAAAGTACCGTAAGGCTGATAGACAAATTTTACAATACTGGCAGCCTAACTGTTTATCTTCTTTAATATGCAAACCAAATATACCCAGCTACCCTAGACACCATATCGTATAACTCTATATATAGACACAGATAGTCTAAAGGTAGAATCGAACGAACTGTTTTGATCCTTGTATTATCTATCAATGAATATATATAATATATAAATATTCTATATATCTATGTATATGTATTCTATAGATCTACATCTCTTTTTATATGAAGTGTATATACCTTCTTCAGCTTTTACACTTAATCAAAACCAAGGAATACAAACTTTACAGCCCAACTTATTTAGCATACTATAATAATATAAATAATCAAAGTTAAATAAGGAAATACCAATAAAAAAAAAATAAAAAACAAATTGTAATTGTATTCAAAAGCATTTTTCTTTGTCTATATTTGTATAGGGTTTTATATAACTTACTCTTCCCTTCTACTATAAATGTTTTTATTATAGATCTCAGCGCTATAGTTCTCATATAAATTGAATTATGCCATATTGTTTATATACAAAAGGCGTGCCTTTTGTATCTGTATAAACAACATTTTTGAATTTATGAAAATCACAGAGAAGGGCGCAAGGTAGAATGAGGCGATTCTGTTGAATTTTTCAAGGGAAGCGCTTTATTTGCATCTTGTTCATCTTTTCTATGAGCTGCAATTTAATTGCAAATCGCGTATTACATACACATACATACATATACATATATGCAGGTTTGTATGTATATCCCTTTGGCTGGCATTCAGAATTGGGTGCATAGAGCGCTCATGTTGCATGCAGCGCGTTTAATGCGAACTGTGACTTCTGTGTGCCGCAGAATTTGCTCAGCAAATTTCAAAGGCAGCAGTTTTGCATTGTTAACTGATTCACCGACTGCGACCGCGACTGCGAATATGAATCCAAATCGGAATCCTCCAGTGAAGATGCAAGAGATTGTGCCACATCAAATTACACTTAAGAGGTTCGAGACTGAGCAATACTCTGTAAGCGACTCCAACTCCGTCTCTGCAGCCACAACTCTAAGGCTTCATATACTCTATTTATATATTTCATATAGGGTATATTTGACTCGGCGCACAATGTGAATGCTTTTTCATATATGCCCCTTGCACCTTGGTAACAGGGTATTGAGACTGCCTTCTGGTGAAATTTGAAACATCTTTAGAATCGCGACGTTCTCTTTTACTCTCATACGTACGCATATGCCCTTTTCACTTTGACAACAGGGTATCAACACAATAACATGTCTGTTAAGAACTTTTGCATGCATGCACAAATACATACATACATACATACTACGTACAAACTCATATGCAAATATGAGCTGTGCTTTATAACTGTCGCTGTAGCTTCAAGTGCAGTTAGAAAGCGAAGCTTTTTTGGCAAGCCCTGCTACCAATTGTCAGCTCATGCAGGGTTGCCAGCTTAATTTCAAAAATGAAATTCCTGTAACGTTCTCGTTTCACTTACATATGTGTGTGTGTGTGTGTGTGTGAGTGATGTGTGGGGCTGCAACTGTATCTGTCTATATGAGTTTTATTTCTCTTTTCTTTTTTTTTTTTTTTTTTTATTTTATGTGTTTTTCCATTTCACACTTCTTTTTATGCGCTGCACGTTTTGTGTTTAGTTGTTGTTGTTGTTGCAGCTGTGCGCATTTCTGCCTGCCGGCTGCATAGTTTTTCCATTGAGGGGAAAACTTTTCGACAGCAGCAACAACAACGCATTGCCAATATATTGTGTTGAAGGCGGCCATAACGGTTTCAATGCGTTCATTGGCACCGAACTACAACAACAATAACAACACTAAGAAACAGCAAAGCACCAGCACCAAAGGCCTTGGACATTTGCATCCGAGCAAACGCTCAAACCGGACGCACTTTGTCAACCGCCCGTCACACTGATCTTTAATGGTGCATCGCGACGTGTGAGAGTGCGTGATGCATGACATACAAACACCTACACAGGCAAGCGCATATGTACAGACACATGCATGCAAGCAAACATATGTATGCTGTGTGTGTGTGTGTGTTGAACATTCTGGTTCAAGTTGCTGAATAAATTTAGTGTTTCATTAAATATGAATATGAGTCTGTCAACTGATTTAATTTTTTATTTATAACAAAAATAGAAATTACACATACATACATATGTACATATCTGCGAACCTTTCACTTGCATATGTGCATACATTTAAAATTTGTTACACTTTTATATTTTAAATATACATTTTCTAATTATAAAGATTTTATTTGTTTATGACTTCATTTGCCCTTAACTAATTATTCAAAATTCTGATCACTTAACTCAGTCGTGCGTTCAAATGAACCGATTGCGGCCCTTCCAAAATATGGCAACACCTTTCCAGGCTGCTCCCATTACTAATGACCTAAATTGAAATAAAAGAAGAAATAAATAAATATGGCAGTTCGCCCCGCCTTAAACGCATATGACAGCCTCAAATTTAGACATTCATATTTAATATAATTATTTACATACATACATACAGCTAACAGCCAAATAGGGCGCATCCGTTTTCCGGTTGCTGTTGTCATCGTCATTTGCAAAATAACAACAAAGCAACAACAAGAAAATAACAACGGCCCTTATTCATGTATGGAACGGCCAAGAGCTGTTGTGGAACGGATGAGTTCAAGAACCTCACGCAACAACCGTGCGGGGGGGTGTTCGAAATATTAAAATGAC